TGTCAGGATTTTATAAATCCACAGAGTATCTTTAGCAAGCAAAGGGCTGGATTCCAAATAGAGCTGGATCCAGATGAACTTCTCAGGGTCGTCACAATTGGACACACGGGAGACAGCAGCACACGGTGTGCAAAGAATCCCAGCTGAGTAATTTCTCCCAGATGCTCTCCTCTCTGTCCTGCAGAGCTGTTGGTTTTGGAAAGCCACGTGGCCATCAAGGGCCTCTAACTTCAGAGGATATCCTGATAACGCCTGAGCCCTGTGGTTGTCCAAACCGGGAGGTGAATATTCAGCCTTAATCACAGTTCTCTTCGGCAGCACTTAAAAATGTAGTTGATGAATTTAACAAGAAACACATGTTTTCATTTAAATTACAATTAGCAATTAGAGAGTTAAGTGTGCCCTAGATAGAATATATAATCGTTGTTGAGTTTGTGGCATAGCTACTTTACTGTTACCATTCTCTTTTTATGTCTTGCTTTATGATTTTATGGTAAATTTATGCAGAAACTGTGAGAGAACCCCGAGCTAAGGAAAGCTGCAGGACTGAAGTTATTTGGCTTCTAAATAAATGGTCACCAGTCTAGGCCCACTGCCGATTCATTGCCTAGCACGATTCTCTTTGTTTTAGGAAATGTGGAAAGACATTTTACCTACCCTCCAACCAATTTGAGTTGGATAATTTGTTAGTGATAGCTGCAGTGTAAATTACATACTTCTGTAAGTATCGTAGAATGATAGACTAGCTCTATCTACCTACTGATCTTTATGATTTCCTGAAAATTCAGAAAAGGAAAAGCAAGCCACCTTCTCCTTCAGAATATTCCATAGTGAAATTACTATTTACCTCTGCTTTTCAGTGGAGATGATTAAGAGGAAAGAAAACAAGAGGCCAAGAAAAAGAGCCAACACATATTATTCGGGTGACAAGTCAGGTGCATTCCAGATGGTGGGGAGGCCTTGTTAATGGAATTCAAGGGGGAATCCACAGGGCTAGATGGCCAGGGCACAACCACTCCTGATCCATAAAAGGTTTCTGGAGCAAGGCAAGTTGGCAGTCATAACGAATAACGAAGCCATCTAATGGGAACGTAATTCCTGGTGAGGAAATACCCTCCTCCAACAAGTAAAATAAAAGAGAGAGAGAGATATGGTTTATGGCAAAGTTACCGAGGAGGCTGAGTACCAGACAGATTATAGCCAAGACAAATAATTGCATGTAGCTTGGAGACCAGAATATATAACTCCTTGGCACCAGCTAAGGAACCACAGCAGTTTCTAAATTTTAGCAAAACCAGACACAGAGGTGAGGGGAGATTACTCTTCCAGGCTATGCCAGAAATCAGAGACTTTTGGCAGGTGTTTGGGCCACATATAACTGTAGACATCGGAGAGAATGATTTCTGAATTTCTTTAAAGTCATATGTGCCAAGGGGAAGGGAATAATTTGGTTTCTTCAAAACAACCAACGTTTTATTTTAGTTTCACTTGCAGACACATAGACCTGTCACTCAAAACACCTCAAATGGATCGTCTTTTCCTTATTTTCCGAGTGTTCAATTAATGTCTCCGGGTCAAAATACCAGAATTTATGTTTTAAGTTTCCCTGTCTGATGCTGCAGGAAAGAAATGGTTCGTTGGACTCTATTGTTGTCCAAGTTCCCTGCTCCACACGTAGAGCAAAACTTCTTTGAGAAGACAGAAAGCTGGTTCTACGTTCTCCTTTCGCATTGTTTTTCATTTCGTGGAATTGTTTGTCTCCTGCATCGGAGACAGGGAGTAAATTTTCCTCGACACGCTGACAGCCCTCGTGCAACATCTGCATAACGATGGAATTTATTTTGTTCATTATGACTGCTGCAGCGCACAGGGCTGTATTTCACTCCCACAGACGATTTCTGTTTTCATAAATTATCCAGCATGCTCCTCGTGGAAATGGCTGGCAGTCTTCAGAGAACTGGCAAATAATCTCTGAGCTGTCTCTGCTTCTTCATTTTGGTTATTTCTGTGTCATAAAAGTTATGACCTATCAGACAGAAGAAGCATCAAGAAGGCCTCTAATAAATACTATTCAACAAGCTCCAGACAAATCTAATAACAGCCATGTAGGCTTCAAAGAAACCCTAAACACCTCCCCAGCCCCGAGAGCTCAAAGACTAATGCACCTTCCTGTGGCCACCAGCACCCATTTCTGCTTGAAGTGTTGTTTTGTTTTGTGTGTATTGATAGAAATTCATTTTGCTCCCTTATAGACTGTCCAGCTCTGTGGCAATCTTTGTGCTCTTAACAATGGATCTCCCCTTTGATTTTTTGAAAACATAACAGACATAAATAGAAGCATTCTATAAGTGCAAAAACAAACAAGGACCCCAAGTATTCTGGACAAAAGCACAGCCCTCGCAGGAGCCCCCTCAGATGTTCAACATCAGTCAAGACCTCACATGCCATTTTCTTCCTCCTCTTACTTCATTTATCTCTTTCTTAGGATTTGATACAAAAAAACACCGGCCTAGAACTGGAGTTATAATCTGAAACAGTTGATCTACAGTTCGGGATACACTCTGAAGGGTCTCCCAGCATTGTCTTGCTGAAACATGCACAGTCCCCATGGAAGCGGAAGCTTCAACCAAGGGGGAGCTGGACTTCAGGTGGATGGGAAGGAGGTTGGTGTGAAATTTGACCCTAGGAGACATGTTCTGTCTCTTATTTATCCCTGAGATAGCTTGGGAAGAGAACTAAGAAGAGGGTAAATTGGGGAGATGGTGTTTTACCTGATGAAGTCTGAGCAGAGCAAGAGATCATGCCACCCACTCCCACGCCCTTATGCCCACCAGAAGCAGCAAGGCTCCTCTAACATGGAAGACTCGTTTTATTACAGAAGTTTTCAGACTGCTGGATGATTTGTTCTTACGGTCTCAGGGTCCAGGTGGGGTAGAAATGGACTGAAAGGGAAGGCAGGCAACAGACAGGCTGGGTTCTTTGTCTGTGAGGATCACCAGGTTTGTTGTTGGCCATCTATTACAAAATGTTGTGCTTCACATCAGTTGGGTGGTGCCATGAGGCCACAGGGACCTTCATGGAGGCACCCTGGGCCGTGCGTCATGGAGCTGGTTCTCCTGCATAGCCACCCAGCTGGAGCCCTATGGAGTCTCGCCACCTCCCAGGGGTTGCCTTGGAGAAAAACCCTGGTCTCTGCCAGCCTTATAGTGACTTGAACCCCCTTTTGCTCCTGTTCTCTTGTTTTTAGCATCAGTCCTGTCTGCCTATTCAACCCAAAAATGAATTTCCTTAACTGAGTCTTGACTTGCCAAGCAAACGTCTGAGTATCTGTTATTTAAATGCAGCCCCTGAAACAAATGAAAAGCTTCTCATATTCCTGTGGGGCAAGGAAGTGCAGAAGTCTAGATCCCAAAGTTGCCCAAAGATTCACTGAGATGTGCAAGTGAGGGCGTTGAGGCGGGTGGAGTGTAGAAGTAAAAGCAGGGAGAAATTTATTCCCCTCTGAAATTACAGGACAGGCAACTAGTACTACTAATAATAGAAATAATAATTTCTGAGCTAACACTGCTAAATCTTCCATATTCCAGATACAATATTTGATACTTTTATAGGTTTTTCATTGAATCCTCATAACTTGATGAGGCAAATAGCATTTCCCTCATATTAAAGATTGGGCTAAGGATGGAAGTTACATTTTCATAAAGTGCACTGTGCTGGCAACTTTAGGTATCTTTTCATTAAATTTTTATAGCCCTATAAGATGTCAGATTATATCCACTTTACAGACAAGGAAACTGAGGCAGCTGTCCTGTTCAGTAATAATGCAAAAAGCTTATAGTTATCAACTTGATGAACATCAGTATGAAGGCTTCTGCACTTCCTTGCCCCACAGGAATATGAGAAGCTTTTCATTTGTTTCAGGGGCTGCATTTAAATAACGGATACTCAGATGTTTGCTTGGCAAGTCAAGACTCAGCTAAGGAAATTCATTTTTAGGTTGAATAGGCAGGCAGGACTGATGCTAAAAACAAGAGAATGGGAGCAAGATTTTAAAGATCCATGCCACACCACAATTCCTCTGGGAAGTCAGCTCTAGGCTAAGATACCCTGGATCCTACAGCCTCCCCCTGAGTGTTTCTCTGCAAGCTTTTCTGAATCAATGATCCCGGTGTCCTCCAATGAGAACCCTCAGGCCTATGGAGGTTATTTAAAAGGAAGGAAGGGCCGGGCACGGTGGCTCACACCTGTAATCCCAGCACTTTGGCAGGCCAAGGTGGGTGGATCACGAGGTCAGGGGTTTGAGACCAGCCTGGCCAGAGACATGGTGTTTATTAAGTAGATACAAGTAGAAGGCCAATGAATGCTAAATGAAAAATTCTATTTGTAGTTCTCACTTCTGCCCATTGGACTGCTCTTCTCTCCTTATGGTGTAGCAACGATAACACTTCTCTTTAAAAAGCTGCATAATTTCCTTTCATTGTCACTGAACACTGTTTATTGATTTCTACTTGATGTGCCAGTTGCCCCTGAAAATCATGATATCTGCTGATGGACAAATTTATAACATGGCATGTGACCAAAACTTGTGCCTCTGGTGCAAAGCCACAAGTTTCAAAATAATAAGGATTTAGGAATTCCTTCTCCAGTGCACCAAGCTGAGCCATCCGTCCCTTGCCAACCTGAAAGGTGGACTGAACAGAGTTTATTTCCCTCCCCACTCAGTGCCCACCTCCCTCTACCCTTGAGACCCAAAGCAGTGAAACACTGGGCTATTTGTTCCCCAAAACCACAGAGTGAAGTTTTCCAGCAACGGCAGGAAAAGTTTCTGCATTCCCCAGCTCCCCCGTTCCCTCCCCTTCTCCAATTAATACCAAAGGTTTCAATTATCCTGGAAATCTGAGCTCTGGTATGTTATTAGAATCCTGTTTCAGGAAAACACATTCCCAAGCCCCCAAGTCCTGTGGAGAGTTTTCTTTCTCCAGAAGTCACGGGGTAGGACTGTTATCTGAGATCCTTCTCAGGAGGTGGTTTGTTCTTTTCCCCTTTCATGGAAGGCTCTTTCTAGTGAGGAGTGGGATCCTGATGTGATGGGGCCTCGGTTGCCTGGTGGTTAGGAAGTGAGAGGAATTTGAGATTTCCTTCTCGGTGCTTGAAGCTGGCAACATCAGAGAGCCTGCTTCGTCTGACCACCACCTGACACCCTTCACCTCTGACCAAAGAGCGTGCTGCTCTGAGGATGCGTCTTTGTGAACGTACACCATTCCTTTTTCTTTTTTTCTCTTCTGAGCCATACTCTAAATTCCTTTAGGGAACGATCAGATACTTTATCCATTTTTTAAGAAAAGTAATCAATAACTAAGACTACCAGATATGAACTGAAAGAAACCACAAACCCTGAACTACAAAAAAACTGTATTCATTTGTCAAAAATGGAACTTCACCCAAATTAACATCTGCAATAGGTTTGCTTGAACAGCCACAACTCAGCACTGGGCAAACATCACATGTTAATTTTTGTTGTTGTTTTTACATTTTTCCAACTAACCATGATCGATTCTGCTTCTCGAGCCTGGGTAGATCAGGGAAAATGAAAAATGTCAAGTTAAAGGTATAAGTGTCTCTTCATATGACAGAATTTTCATAGCCAGGAACTTTCCAATATCTTCTGGTTAAATCAATTGCTTTTCTGGTGATTTTTCAGTCGGTCAAAAATGAATTCCTCACTGTGGTAACCATGTTTCAAGATGGCCCCCAGTGAGCCTCATTTCCTGGGATTCGTACCCTTGCAGGATCCCCTTCATTGTGACACCAGGGCTGTTCTTTGTGACCATTAGAATATGGCCGAAGTCATGCTGTCAGACTTCTGGGGACAGTGCTGCTTCCACTTTGGTCTTTTGGATCACCTTCTCTGGAGGAAGCCAGTCGTCATGTCATGAAGACACTTAAGCGGCCCAAAAAACTGCAATTCCCTGTCAACAACCAGCACCAACTTGGAAGACAAGTGAGTGAGCCACCTTCAAAGTGGATCCTCCAATGCCAGTCAAAGCTCCAGATAACTGTCACCCTGGTCCAAACCTTGACTACAGCCACATGAGAGACCCTCAAGCCAGAAGCATTGGCTAAACCACTCTCACATTTCTGACTCGGACAAGCTGTAGGAGATAACATATATTTAGAGTTGTTTTAAGCCAGTAAATGCTGGGCTAATTTATACAATATCGGAGTTGTTTCTACCTCGCTCCCTCTTCTTTCCATGATGTCTGGTGTGCAGGACCAGGAGCCTGTGTGACCTCAGTGGTGAAGGACAGGGATCTTGGGTCTGTGTCGTGTCCCTGGAATATTCTGCTCTCTTTGGTTATCTGGGTAGTGTTGTGTACTGCTTAGATCTGGTCTCTGGGCTGCTTTCTGCTGATGAGGTCCCTATCAGTTAGTTTTGTGGTTTGTTCTCTTAGCTCAGGTGGGGTTGGCAGCTCTCCTCGATAGACCTCCCCTTCAGCTCCTGCCGGCACTGCAGAGCCACCCCTGGGTTCAAGTTGTCATTCGTGGTCAATACCTGGTCTGGAAGTTCTACCCTGCAGCCTTTAAGGGCTACTGATCACTTTGCCAAGGCTTCTGCAACCTTCCTGACAGTGTTCCAGTTCACTTCTTTGGCCACCTTTCTTGTTCCCATGGGGTACAGGAAATTTCTGGATTCTCCCATGATGCATGAATGCCAAGGGAATGTCAGGATTGCCACCTCAGACACTCACATGAATAGTACCATACCATCATTTTTTTCTTTTGACTGCAGCCTCAGGCTAATTCCATGAGAAAGCGCCCTTGTGGAGTTCCAGAGAGGGAGCGGGAACTAGACCCCTCTGCTGGGGACTTTCCTGTCTGCTCTGGGCTGCTGGAGGGTCAAGACACACGTCCCTGATCATTTGCTGCAATTCTTCTGCCTCTCTTCTTTCTACACTCCATAGGAAGATTGACCAGGATTTCTACTTCTTCTGTTGGAAACTCTTTTTCTGCCATGACTGCCTTCTTCCCCAGGGCAGTTAACCTCCCAACCTGGCAGTCACAGGCAGCAGTGGCTTCTCTATATGGTGGAAGGAACCCTGTGCAGGTTTTCCAGACTGTGTTCTTGGTTTGGGAGCTGCAGTGCAGTGAGGATTGAGGCTACTGCAGATGAAAATAAATGGATTTAATATGCTCAAATTATTATCCTCATTATCCATTAATTTTGACTGAACTATAAAGTAAAACTCATTTCCCCCCTTAGTAAACAAACTACACACACACCAAACCAGTTCGAACTGGAGCGACACAAATACATGTTTTTTAACAGGTTTTTCCAAAATAACTAGATCTAGAGCATCAAAATCACCTGCAAACTGTACCTGAGCCTTACTGTAATTCATTCAGTTCCAAACCTTTTGTCTGAAGTCAGACTGGTGCAGGAAGCAGGTGGAGTTAAGACGCATACAGCTACCTTCTCCGTATATGGACCTAGCTGATTTGTTTCGCCCAGTGTCTTCTAAAATATTTGATTACAATCACCTTTTTAAAAAGTTACATTTGTTTATATACTTGGTACTCTCCTTTTCTCATGGCATACTTCAGGAACTGCTACCCTTTAAGTCTTCTGCTCACAGAACCAGCCAGAAAAATAGTTAGCAACTCTGAAGCAATCTTTGGGATTCCTAGGCTCCACTCTTGAAAGGGCACTGGGTCTATTCCCAACTGTTGCTTGGATGTTCTTCTAAATCAGGCTTGCAAATGAGCCACCTCTAGGATGAAGCCAGCCTTGAGATGCACTTTGTTTCACTTGGACACATTTTGGCTTTTGTGCACTTGAGAATATTTACATAACACAAGCAATCTCCAGTTGCCTCCTTTGAGAGGCTTGTGGACACAGTCAATGATGTGCTATGGGGACTGTAAGAAAGTCTCTGCTAAATAATAGGAAGGAGGGAGTGGCTATTTTTATCTGGGAGGACCAAGAAAGGATTCACTGGGAAATGATACTTGAATCAGAAAAGATGAGGGAAGCTTTGCCCAGAATCAAGAGACAGAAGACATTTTAGGAGAAGGCAGTGTCGTGGAAGTCAGACTAAAATATGTGTATAAAGCAAGGGGAAATTTCAAATTTTTAAAAAATGGGTATAGAAGGGGTAGTCAGCAGAGTCAGATACCTCAGAAAGAGAAAGTAAAATGTGTCCCAAAGAAAAATTCAGTTGAATTTATAATATGAATGAATAACCTTTGTTTCAGCAGGGTGGGCTCCGTGGAGTGCTGGGTTCTGTGGAGTGCACGGCAGGTTCCAGGGAGATGGGTCAGGACAGTGGATTGCTCTGGTTGAAGACAGGGAGATGAAATATAGACTGATTTTCCCCTGGGCTTAAGTATTAAAGGAGGGAGCTATATAGACTATAGCTAAGGGAAAGTTGACTGTCTTCTCAAAAATGGAGAGTGTTGAACATGTTTGTAGGCTTTGGAGAAGGAGCCAGTGGAGAGGGCAGTGTTGAACATACAAAATAAATGCCTAGAGCATCTTTCCGGGGGAAGAGGGGTATGGGCCCAGGCAGCACTCATCAGTGCAGATACCAGCACAGAAATGATGGACCATCCAGTTGTTCTAAGAGTGGGGTTTGCTGAGCAGGATTTGTGGAAAGGCAAAGCATGAAGGACATGGAGAACACTGAAGGCAGAGAGTGGTTGGAGCCATGGACCTTAGATCCCAGGTTCAGACAGGAAAAGGAAGCAAAGTCGTGATGGGAAGGTTGACAAGAGGTCTCCCTGACAACATCTTACAGTGTGTATTTTGAGGTCTGTATGTTGAAGCCTGTTAATTGCTTGATGCACCTAAATCAAATTTGGAGAACCCTTCCAGCTCATTCATGCCCACTAGGGTGCATTAGAACTGATTTGAGCAAAACAGAAGAAACAATCCACTCCCCAAGTGAAATGTAGTTCCCTGAGTTTTTCTCTACTTTTTTGAGTCATTAAAACACAGTCTTCTTCACCCAAGTCTTGAATAAGTTTATATTTCTGTTATTGTAAGTCTTCTTTGAAAGATGCTTGATACTTCATCAGGAGAAGGAAAGAACATTCGAATCCATAAAAGGTAATATTCATCTGGATGTTCAACTTGAGCTGAGCTTTATGGTCCCAAGTTCCTCAGGTTCACCCACACGTGTGAGCAGATGAGGCCACCTCACCAACAGCACGGACCATAAGACCTCCAGCCTCCCCAGCCAAACCTGGGCAGCCCCAGGAGCCTACTGTATGGATCTATGAACACTTCTAGATCCCTTGCCCACAGTCATGTTTTCTGGCATCCTCACAGCCCTAAAACCCATGTGCTGACAATGTGACATAGTGTTCTTTTCAGTCCCACCACGGCAGAGACAGAGAAATGCCCTTCCCTCACTCGGCCTGCCACTTTGTCACCTGGCTTGGAAGCAGAGCCCCACAGGGAAACCACCCCCTCAGCTTCTCTCTCTTCAAGGGCTCAGATGAGGAGGGTGGCAGACCCCATCTGATCCTCTTGTGTTTTCTCTCTCTTCCTGTATCTGTAGATACCCCTGTACCAGCTGTCTTCCTCACGGGCGTCCTTTCCTCAAGCAAATCTAACACTCAAAAAGATTCCCACATTCCACTGGCCCATCAGGTCATCTGGCAGGATTATTTTGATCTCATTCTAGGCTTACCCTGAAAAGCTGCTCAATGCATAACGCAGTTTGGAGATGCCTACAGGGTCTTTAAAGTTGGCCACTCCCCCTGCCTCTGCCGCAGATCTGCCTTGTGGGAAATCCTAATAGATATATTTTTTTCCAGTATATTTTGCTCATGTCTGAGAATTCTAATTTGAATATTCACAAATGTCTGTTTGTCCCTGATAAAAAAAAAATTGTGTCCATCTGCTCAGGTTGTCGTAACGAAGTATCCCAGGCTGGGGGGCTTAAACAACAGAAACTTATTTCCACGCTGTCTGGAGGCTGAACATGTGAGATCAAGGAGTTGTGAGGGTTGGTTTCTTCTGAGGCCTCTCTCCTTGGCTTGTAGATGGGAGTCTTCTTTTTGTGTCTTCACCTGGCCATTCTTCACCTGGTCATCCCTCTGGATAGTATTTGTGTCGTCATCTCCTTTAAAAAAAAAAAAATAAGGATACTGTTCAATTGGATTAGGGCTAACCCATAGCGCCTCACTCTACTGTAATTATGCCTTTAAAGAAACTATCTTCAAAGTTACATTCTGAGTTAAATTCTGAGGGGTTAGGATTTCCAAGTATGAATTGAGGAGCACACACTCAGCCATAATGTTGGCTCTGGGGGAGTCAAAAGAAGGTGAGGGCAGTGAGGCAGGGCCTTATGTGAGACCCTGAGGGCCACTGGGTAAAGGGATTCCCAGTGGGTCCAGGGGCTGGCAGAGCTTGGTGGAATGTTCCATCATCCTCCACTGTGATCGAGCACAGGGCCATTGCGAGCACAACTGAAGGTGAGTGGCTTCGGAAAATCCCCTGTGCTGTCATGCACTTTTATTAATTAAAGGCTTCTCAATGGTCTATCCACCTTGATTAAACAGATGATTTTATCTTTGCAACCACAGTGAACCCTGAGGGATGGGAACCAGCTGGTGGACAACTGCAACCTCAAGACACAAGGTCAGAAAGGCACAAGGTGTTCAGAAAGACCCGGAACGAGGAAACCACTTCATAGTCTTCGTATCATTGAAACTGTGGGACATAAAAATTTGAAAGGGTTTGGAGTGAGTGAGGAATGGTAAATGCAACTTGTGCCTGTAGTGTATTCTCATTTAAGAACTGATAAGTACCAGTGATAGCCCATTGATTTATTATGCCATCTTTATTGTTTTTAGTTTTGGGGAAAAAATCATATAAGGGTAAAAATTATAAAAGTTTTTATAAGTTCACCTGAGATCTTGCTGTTCAAACTCTAAACTCTGTTTTCTCTGCTAAGACTTTAGTTCCAAAATGGTACATGATAATGTGTAGTTGCTGGGAAGGGATATATGGTACACTTTTTACATTTTTTCATTTTATTTTTATTTATTTAGACACAAAGTCTTAGCTCTGTGGTCCAGGCTGGAGTGCAGTGGTGCAATCATAGCTCACTGTAGCTACTCCTGGGCTCAAGCTGTCGTCTCACTTCAGACCCCATCTCCATCCCGGCCAGTGCACACTACCCTGCTGGGTTACTATTATTTTGTTTTTTGGTAGAGATGGAGTCTTGCTAGGTTGTTCAGGCTGGTCTTGAACTCCTGGCCTGAAGCAATCCTCCCACCTTGGCCTCCCAAAGTGCTGAAATTACAGGAATGAGCCAGCACACTTGGCCCAATACAGTACATTTTGAGACAAGCCCAAGATACTGTGGGGGCTGGGAGGAGTCGCATGCTTGAGGTAGATAGTCTTTATTCTGGTGTATGGCTCAGCACTTAAGAAACACATTCTTCATTTTTATTTCAGGATCAATGTAAAAACATCTTTCAAACATATTGAGTACTTTAAGGGATATACTACAGTTGGCTATTAAAAATACATTAGTAATGGTATACACCTATTATGGCCTTGGAGTACTAATCCATTATTCACTCATTCACTCAACAAATAATTCCTGAGCACCTTCTATACATTAGGCAGTACGCCCCCAGCCACGAATACAACAGACAAGGACCCTGCCCGCAGGGAGTTGATAGAATGTGAAGAGCTGGGGTGACAAAGTAGGAATGGACTGATGGAGGCCTCAGGAAGGGCAGTGCGGGATGCAACGAAGAGGTAGGCAGAGACTGGCTAATGCCTGGGGAAGGAAGCTCCTGAATGATTTCATGCCTAGGAGAGAGAGGTTCCCATTCATGTGTTTGAAAGATCACTCAGGCTGTTGGGCGAACAATAATTGTAGGCACAGAGAAGTGAGCTTGGAGACTGCAGTGGCCCAGATAAGTGGAAAAATAGTCCAGAAACAGAGTTGGAATTGGGAGTCTGAGAAGTGACATAGACAGAGAAGAATGTGTATGCCATCAACACGGGGGCAAGAAGAATTGCTCAGAACGTAAAAGACTGCACTAAGGAAATGGGCGTACCTAACAGGTAAAACTAAATTTGGGCCAAGAAGGCACTCCTGACAGCAAGGGCTACTTCATTCTGAAAAGGGCTACAGAAGAGAAGTGGGTGCATCTTCCCAGGAGGGCGGCAGGAAAGGGACTGGAGAGCCAGCCATAGGTTGAATGGCTGAGGTGTGCTTCTGCATAAAGGCAGGTGGCTAGAGTGGAAAAGCTGACATTGTCCCAGGCATTGATTCCAATCTGTGGCATTTTGTTGTGCCCACTGGCAGAGCTTCTTCCTCTTCCTATTGCGTCATCCAATATGGTAGCCACTAGCCATATGTGGCCATTTAAATTTAAATTCTAAAGTATTACATTAAATTAAAAATTCAGTACCTCAGTTACATAAGTCACATTTCAAATGCTTAATTGTCCCATGTGGCTGGTGGCTACCTCATCCGTTAGTGCAGCTGCAGCACACTTCCACTGTCACAGAAAATCCTGTCGGGCAGGGCTGCTATAGAAAGTTCTCACTCCCTTGGAGCAAACACCTCCAGGAATATTTCTGAGCACTGCCTGCTAATCTTAGCTCCACCTTGCCGGCTCTCTGCGGCTAACCCTTTTGTCCGGGGCTCTATGCTTGCTCTCTGCCTCCTGTCTTAGGCCACCTGTCCTACCCTCTCTTTCGTGCCCAGCTTGTCCTCCCCGGGTTGTAAATCCAGGTCCTCTCCTCCAAGGCTCCGTGCCATGCACCAGCCTATCTACTCCTAAGCCACGAACCAGCTCTTGGACTACCTTGGGCTCAGCCTTGGGCCCCATTTGCTAAGTCTAGCAGGCTGAAGATTCCAGAAGAGCCTGCGACCCAGGCTGACAGGAGAAATGACATGCCAGTGTTCGGGCCCCAGAGTGTGACCTCCCGGGTTTCTTAAGGGTGAGGGTTGATGTTTTCTTCAGAGGAAACAGCCCAGAGGGGAAATCGGACAGGGGAGAAATGTCATTCCCTGGGCCATAAAGAAGTAGTTAGGGCCTCAGAAGAGAAACAATAAATAAAATAAAAGGCGCAAGAATTTTATGCTTTCTCTGTACTTCAGAAAGCAGGTTTCATATATATTTCAATACCCAGTGTGCTCAAGAATGGATCAGATGTGCACGTGCCTGCAAACCCAAAACACAGCTGGTAGGTCTAATTTTAGGTTTCCGAGCATTGGCACTGTCCCTCTACCCAATAAGCACTGTCTGATCTTCCAGAGCCTGCACGCGGAGCGGGACTCAGCTGAACTCACTGACAGTCCTGTATGTGAGCGTGACAGGCACTTTATTCTCGGCTCCCTGAGAGGGGTCAAAAGGCTATGCCCACTCAGGTGTGACCTCCCAGGACCAGGGGAAAGGGCAGCCCTTCCCACCGGCTCGCTCTGGGCCTCAAGTCGTTTTGAGCACCTCTAAAAAAGCAGTTTGAAAGGAAGTCTTATAAGAAAAAATATAATAATACCCGGCTCTTTTGATGGGCTGGATGGGGTCGTTCAGAAAGAGAATGTCCCCGCCTAGAACAGGTGTTCCATGGAATATTACTCCACATCTTTCCTCGAATGATCAAGGAAACCAGGGTACTGGCTGATGGGAGCTTCTGGAGCCATGATGCTTGGGTTAGAATCTGGTTCTGTCATTTATTGGTTATATGACTTTGGGTGAGTTACTTAACTTCTCTGTGCCTCAGTTTCCTCATCTGAAAAGTGGTGCTAATAATAGTGAATGAGGTGATGTGTATAAAGCCAGAGAAGTACCTCACACAGAGCAAGCATTTCACAGTTGCTAAGGTGGAGCCAAGGGGCCCTCCAAAGTTTCACTGAAAAATCAACTTGCAAAAGATTAACTGGAGAAAAGGCATACTAACATATTTAACAGGTAAACACAGGAGCTTTCAGAACGAAGACTCAAAGATAGAGGGGAAAATTGTCCTTCATGTTTTTGTGAGACGGAGTCTCGCTCTGTCACTCAGTCTGGAGTGCAGGGGCGTGATCTCGGCTCACTGCAACCTCTGCCTCCCAGGTTCAAGCGATTCTCCTGCCTCAGCCTCCCGAGTAGCTGGGACTACAGGCACGTGCCACCACGCCCAGCTAATGTTTTGTATTTTTAGTAGAGACAGTGTTTCCTTGTGTTAGCCAGGATGGTCTCGATCTCCTGACCTTGTGATCTGCCCACCTCGGCCTCCCAAAGTGCTGGGATTACAGGCATGAGCCACATGCCCGGCCAGTTGTCCCATTTTTATGTTTAGGTTTCACAAAGGATGGACAACCCTGTAGAAATGCAACTGGACAAAGAGGGTATGATCTAATGCTAATAGACTGAGTGGTGACACCCAGCAAGACCTGCCTTTCTAGATTCTTCTTGGCTTCTCTGTGCATCATTCCCTCCTAGGAATGGGACAGGACTGTCTCTGGAATGGGAGTGGAGGTCTTATGACTGACAGTCAAACAAGGTAGATCAGATCATTTCTGAATGTCCAGTTTTTACACAGAAAGGTGGAGGGGAAATTAGAGTAATACTTTTAGGTTTCATGCCTAGCTTTGGGGAAAAGGGGTTCTGGTTTGTATGAGTCCACTTGGGAAAGAGGGAATTCCAATTTCTACGACTAGTCTTGGGGGAGAATAGGACTGAGAGACAGGAGGACAGGAGAAGGTCAAATAAAAAACGTTTGCTTCTGAGGATGCTTCTTTTTTGTTTTCTTGAGAGAGTCTCACTCTGTCGGCCAGGCTGGGGTGCAGTGGGGCAGTCTCAGCTCACTGCGACCTCCGTCTCCCAGGCTCAAGCAATTCTCCTGCCTCAGCCTCCCAAGTAGCTGGGATTATAGGCATGTGCCACTATGCTCGGCTAATTTTTGTATTTTTAGTAGAGATGGGATTTCTGCATGTTGGCCAGGCTAGTCTCGAATTCCTGAGCTCAGGTGATCCGCCTGCCTTGGCCTCCCAAAGTGCTGGGATATAGGCATGAGCCACTGTACCTGGTCCTGAGGATGCTTCTGAAGCCACTTCTGAGGTCTTCATTTCGGGGTATTGTTTTCTGAGCCCCAACAGTAACTATTATTATTTACTGAATATTCTGGTTTGAGGCACTTAGCACTGATAGTATCACAGCAAAGACAGCAAAAGGTAGTGGTTAAATGCATAAATGCTAGAGTTTGCCTTGGTTCAAAGCCCAGCTCTGTGAATTTAAGCAAGTTAGTTAAGCTCTTTGTGTCTCGGTATTTTCATTGATAAAATGAAGGTAATAATATAGGCATAATAATAGTATCTTCTCCAGATGATCATTAGGAGGATTAAAGGAGCTAATATATGTATATAATAAACACTCAGAAGAATGCCTGGTATTACAGGGTAAGAACTTGATAACAGCTGTCATTATTATTATTATTATCATTATTATTATATGGATTTTCAACTTTCAAAGAGCACAGTAGTGTTCACTGAAGGTTGAAATGAGACTAAGCTTCATTTACTCTTGCTTTGAAGAATCTGAGGGAGCTGCGGGATCTTACAGGCCCCAATTTAGTTAATCAGCAAGTATTTGTAGACTGTGTACAACGTGTCCAGAACTGGCTGCTGTTGCGAATACCCAGTAGCACTGTGTGGGCAAGTTCTTGGGTGATGAAAGTTCAGACATTGCTGCTCATGCAGAGGTGAGTCTAGTCCTCTGCGGTTTGTCTAGGCATCGCCAATGCTACAAATATTATGGCGTCTCCAAAACATCACCAGCCTCCACACCAAGAAGCCAAGAAGGAAGACTTCTGTCTCAGACCTTTGAAGATACCCCTAGTGCGATTCCCACTGGAGTCAAGGCTCAGACTAAGGAGGCAGAATATAAGGAGGACTCGTGGC